ACCTTGATCTTGGTCTAGAGAGACCTATGTGGTACTTCTGGCTTCTAAACCTATATGACAGTAAAGTTGTGTTAAATTTCTAAAGGAGCAGTAGGAAATTAACATATAGATAAGAATTAGTTACATTGCTATCACTTATCTACGATTTATAGAGTTTAAAAATAGCCTAGTCAGCCGAAACCGGTTTGGCTCAGTGGTAGAGCGTCCGTCTGCGGACTGAAAGGTCCCAGGTTCGATTCCGGTCAAGGGCATGTACGTTGGTTGCGGACACATCCCCGGTGGGGGGTGTGCAAGAGGCAGCTGGTCGATGTTTCTCTCTCGTCGACGTTTCTAGCTCTCTATCTCTCTCCTTTCCTCCTCTCTGTAAAATATCAATAAAATATAAATAAAAAAAATAGCCTAGTTAGAGTTTAAAAATAGCCTAGTCAGAGTTTAAAAATAGCCTAGTGAAAAACAAAAGTGCTTGGGGGGGGGGGGTCCGCACGCGCCCACACACACACACACACACACACACACAATTAAGACTACATACTTAAGCTACATCAGCAGAGCTTATGGAGCTTACTTTTCAGGCAGCAAATAGAAGTTGGAATGTGCTCCTAATGAGATGAATGACTCAGCACTTAGCAATTACAAAGATGCCCTATCCAACCACAGGATCATTAATCACTGATGGAAGCAGAAATGAGCAAATTGATGACTTGATGGTTCAGTAGATCTCCCTTGAAAACTGGGGAGAGCCAAATCATCAATAACTCTGGAATCAATTCTTGCTCCCTCAGCCAATTTTTAGCCAAAAGGAGTAATAGCCTCGTGGTACTCAACTGCTTCAGCTTCAGGGTTTATGTTACAGGAAAAATTTTCTTTCCCTCAATTGAAATACTTATGACTGGAATCTTATCCTATGGAAATTCTTATCAAGTAGAAATTGATTGACAAACACTGAAAACACACGCGCACACACAAATATATATATATAAAGTACCAGATAAAAAATGAAGTTTAAAGCAGAATTATATGACTTTTGCTTTCCTGGCATCTATATCTCATTCTTTTCATAACAACACTTAAGAGTTTCAGAGGAAGCTGATCTCATACATATTCCTCTTACCACTCCATTCAGACAAGAGTGGGTGAATGACCCAAACCTGGCCCATCTGTGTCAATAATAAGTTTAAGAATTTATGAGCCTGGCCAGTGTGGCTCAGTGGTTGAGCATCAACCTATAAACCAGGGTCAGAGTATATGCCTGGGTTTCGGGCTTGGTCCCCAGTATGGGGTGTGCAAGAGGCAGCCGATCAATGATTTTCATCATTGATGTTTCTCTCTCTCTCCCCCCCTCTCTCTTCCTCTCTGAAATGAATACAAATATATTTTTTAAAAATTTTTTAAAAGAACTTATGGGATCAAATTTGACACACTAAGAATCAAGCCTGGATCATTATTTGACAAGTATCAGGCAAGAGGCACTTTCTATGGTCTAGTCTTGCTAACGTGGTAGAATATGGACTTCAGTGGAGAGAAAATCAGCTTGACAATGAAGTAAACTTAGAGGGAAGCAGAAAGGAGAACACAGAGTCATTTGATATCATTCATACTCTGGAGTATTTTTTTTTAATGTTTTTATTGATTTGAGAGAGATAAATGAAGGGAGAATGATAGAGAGATAGAAACATAAATAGGCTGCCTCTGCACGCCCCCTACTGGGGATTGAGCCCAAAACACAGGCATGTGCCCTGACTGGGAATTGATCAAGGGACTACAGGATTCATGGGTCCATGTTCAACCACTGAGCCACACTAGCCAAGCTCATTTGTATCTTAACTCCAGTCATGTCTTTTACAAAATTATCTACCTCTGGTCTTTCCAATGAAATCAATTATTTTTGTCCCCTTTCCCTCATAAATCTGTTTGGGCTTAATTTCTGTTACTTGCCATCAGAAGAGTCCTGACTAAGACAACTATGTACACTGAATGGCCAGATTATTATAATCTCTGAATTATAATAATAATCTGGCCACTCAGTGTGTGTGTGTGTGTGTGTGTGTGTGTGTGTGTGTGTGTATGTGTATGTGTGTGTGTGTTTTAGAGGCCTGGAGCATGAATTTGTGCATGGGTGGGGTCTGGCCAGCCTGGCCAGGGGGAGGGGACATGGGCAGTTGGCCAGCCTGCCTGCTGGTCAAACACCAAGTCAAGGGGACAATTCGAATATTAGCCTTTATTATATAGGATATACACTGAGTGGCCAGATTATTATGAGTTCAGAGATCATAATAATCTGGCCACTCATTGTATATTTGATAACTTATTTCATTACTGTTAAAAGATAACTCAAGGCATATTCAAAATTTTAAGTTTATTTTAGCAAAAATTAATTCAAATCAGGTAGTGCCAAATCAAAAAGTGGTTAAAAGCACTCCACTGACAGGAGCTAGAGGAAAGACTTTTCTAGGGAAATGGCAGAAGCAAAGCAATGGAATTATTTGATAGGCTATCCTTTAAATATTTGCTTTATATGAAAAAGGTTGGTTGTCCTTAAGTTTTGCCTTCTTAACCTTGAGGCATGTATAGGCTTGTGTTTTGGATGCTAAAGTTTTAGAACTACCTTGTCTGATGGCTTCCATATTTAATTAATTTAACATTACCAAACAGACTGATAAAGGAAGAAAGCGGAAAAATAAATACATTTGGGAGGTGGAGAAGACAAATTTCAACTGTTAAAAATTTTAAAAAGGATCAAATATCATCTATTCATTATACTTCTTGATAATCACTGCATTCAATAGTTAACACTAACCACTAAAGGCTCTTACAGAAATCAATGTCTTGGCAAAGTGACTTCAACTTATACTATAATCACAATGTATTTTATACTGTTCCCAAATCACCTGAAACACTGTCTTGGAATCCATATCAGCATCTAAAACCTGGGGGAATGATACAGAAATAGAGAAAATATAGTCTGCCTGTTATATACTTATGCTTTAGAGAGAGATAACAGAAGAAAATCTAGCTGTTACTAAAAATGAGTGCTATTTGTAAGAATAACTATAGCACAATTTGATAAATTGTTATCCCTTATTTTCATCCATTAAAAACAAATTATTGGACAATAGGGAGGTGGGGGCATGAGTGAGGAGGGGTGAGGGATTGGAATGGGGGGGATGAGGACAGTATGTGATATCTTAATCAATAAAGAAATTTTAAAAGAACAAATTATTTCTCCTTTGAAACCTTTCTAGAACCTCCATTGTAGGCCTATATCTGTGGTGCTTTTTAGTCTATCTTCAGCACATCTGAGAATGCAGGAGAAGCAAAGAGATGAAATCAAAATAACTGTTATTAGAATAATATGATAAAGGTGATTCACTCAGCAAAAATGAAGTCAACTATTAAAAAGAGTTTTAATGAGGAGTATCATCTTTCATAAATCAAGAAAGCAAACCATGAACCATTTGGAAAGCCACCTGGTTTGTGTCTCCTTTTCATTTATCTTAATTTAGCAGCTTCACGGAGCATGGCCTGGCAGTTCAGTGTGAGGTCTAAGGTTGTGGAACAGAGTGTTCCTCCACCTTTCCCTCACATATAAACTTAGGTTGCCGCCCCCCCCCAACCCCCAGCTTTGAAAGGGAAAGGAAAATTTTCAACTCATAACAAAAGACTAGCGTCAAAACATAATTTTAACATGTAAGTATACATTTTTAAAGTTCTAACAAACCAATAATAATGGAGAGTAATAAAAGGCAAATCTTGGAGGCCTCTTCAAGTCATCTTTCTTCTTCTCTTCCCCCACAACATTGCCTCCATTAGAATTCATCACTTCTCTCCTATATGTATGTAATGGCCTCCCAATTGATCTCTGGGCTTTTAGTTTGTCCTACTGATCATCTTCTATCCGGTTGCCAGAATGACTTAAATCTCACGCTGTCACATTTCTGCTTAACATTGTACCTGGATTTAAAGGTTAAATTAAGATCGTCTCCTTAGCACAGCTGCATGACTCTGTAGCTCAAGCCTTTCATAATCTCCCTCACTGGCACCTTCATTCTGGCCATACTGAGCTAATCACCTGACTCCTGTTTGTTGCTTCATGCACTTTGCTTGCTGTCTGGAATCCCCTCCCCCACTTAGCCAACTTCGCTTGCCTTTCAAAACTTAGGGCCAGTATTACCTTTTTTCCAGGAAACCTTTCCAGATTCCTTCGGACCTAGCATCCCCTCCTAAGTGCTCCCTGTGATGAACTAGGCTTCTGCTGGTAGTACAGAGCACTGTGTGTGATTTCGGTTTACTTGTCTGTCTCCCCTGCAGTCTACAATACTCATCTTTTTATCTTCTGTGCCAAGCTTCGGGCCTTGTCACTTAGCAGCCGCCTTAAGTGCCCATTGAGAGAATTCATTTCAGAAGTAGAACCATAGGACTGAATGAGCCCCTGGAGGAAAACAGCAAAGAAGTCGTTGCTGAGCCTTCTATGTTAGGAAGTAAAGAGATTTCGTGGTCTGGCAATGACAGGGAGTGAGCTGGGGAAGAGAAAAAAATAGTTGTTTCACCGGCCTCGATTTTTAGCTTACTGGGCAGGTGAAGCCAAAACGGGAACTACATTTCCCATTATGCCCCGGGGCACCGCTCCGGGCTTCCCCTTCTTCAGCACCGCCTCTTTCTCCCGGAAGTGAAAGGAGCACTTCCGATCCCGGCCATAACCCCCGCGCCTGCGGCGTTAGGTCAGCCCGGTGGGGCCTTGCTCCGAAGCTCCGCCTTCGCTCAGGTCTTTCTAGAAACGCAGCTTTGCTCTCGGCGGTGCCGGACAGGTATCACCCGGTCAGTCGGCCGCACTGGTGCTGGGGAGAACTTGTCTCCGGAGGGGGTTGGAGTTCTCGCGGGGCGCTCCCGGCGTGCGGCACCGGCGGAAAAGCCGGTTACGGGGACCGGGGGCCGGGGCTCCGCGCTGACATTTGCTGCTTTGCCTGTTTGCAGCGTCCCGGACGCGCGTGTTTGTGCCCTCCATGGCGGATACGACCCCGAACGGCCCCCAAGGGGCGGGCGCGGTGGTAAGTGAGCCGGCCAGGTGGTCTGACTTGATGTGCGAGAGTTAGGGCGGAGCGGGAAGTGCTGCCGGCAGGGTCCGGGGCGCCCCGAAGCTGCTGACTGTCAGGACTGGGGTTAGTGATTGGGGTAGGGGTGAGGGTGGGGCCGAGGGAGATCGTGAGCGAAGATGCAAGGCACCTACACGTCTCTTTTCCAGGCCCGACATCAGGCTTGCAGTCGGGCCATCCCGGAGCAGGTGGCCCACACCTGGATGCCGGGGAAGCTGGGCCTTCTTGCCTCTCCCACTCCCCGGTCTCTATCCTAGGTCCCAAGGTTGAAGATGCCACGTGAGATCGTGCCAGGACTCGCCTCATTCTGCACATGCGTGCTGGCAGAAAATGTTTCTGCTCAGTTTATGCCATTATCTATATATCTATATCTATACTCTTTTTTTCTTTATTTTGCAGACTCTTTTCAGAGTTAATTGCATACATCATGATGGCTAACCCATAAATAATTTCGTATTCTACATGCCTACAATGCAATCATCACTGCAGTGTCTGCAGTTACATTTTGGAAATTTAACATGGATTCATGTGATAACCTAATATTCAATCCATATCCAGACCCGTTGTTCTGCAGAATACTCCTCACATTGGAGTTGTCTGATGAGTGGTACTCTGTCCTTTTCAGAACATTATACATATCAGGACGCATTTTATCTCGATTTATCCCACCATCTGAGATAGTACTAAGTTTTATTATCTGGTTAGGGTGGTATCCACCAGATTTTCCATTGTAAAGATTTTTTTTTTGATTTTTTTTGCCTTTGTAATTAAAAAGTAGTCTATGAGCCCTGGTCTCGGTGGCTCGGTTGATTAGGCATCATCTATGGGTTCATCGTTAATTCCCAGTCTGGCACCTATCCGAGTTATGGGCTCCATCCCTGGTAAGGGTCATACAAGGTAGTCAATTGATGTTACACTCTCACATCAGTGTTTCTTTCCCTCTCCTGTCCTCTTCCTCTAAAAATCAATGGAAAAAAAAAAAATATATATATATATATATATATATATATATATATATATTTTTTTTTTTTTTTTTTTTTTTTTTAAAGTCTATGACATAGTAGTTTGACACTGAGTAGTTTTTCACTCAAAGGTCCATTGACATTTTTTGCCTGTATTACTTATATCATGATTGGGCAGTTCACTTTTTTTTTTAATACATTTTATTGATTTTTTACAGAGAGGAAGAGAGAGAGATCCCTCTTTCAATGAGAGAAAAACATTGATGAGAGAAAAATATCGATCAGCTGCCTCTTGCACACCCCACACTGGGGATGTGCCCACAACCAAGATATATGCCTTTGACCGGAATCGAACCTGGGACCTTTCAGTCTGCAGGCTGATGCTCTATCCACTGAGCCAAACCAGTTTCGGCAGGCAGTTCACTCTTAAAATTTAGAGCAATATACACGTTTTAAAATCTTTTTTGTTGTGTAATAAAGTTACACACACATAAAAATGTACAAAATGAAATGCATAGCTCAATGATATATCACAAAGTGAATATCCTAAACACAAATAGGTTTTAAGAAAATGTCCTAAAATTAGAACATTTGTAGAATCTGTATAGAAACAGCATAGTGATCTAGATTCATCCTTTCACTTGGCTACTGATGGTCATTTAAACTTTAAGGTGTCAACAATATAGTTGGATATAATAAGCTAGAGGCATATTTCCAAAGTTACCAACATACTGTTAAAAAGACATGCAATAAAACACACTTGAATTTTAAAATGTACTTGCATTTTTTCCCAGAAGTTTTTTTTACTTATCTTCTTGAAGAAAAAAAAAAAAAGATAATTATATTAGACTAGAGGCCCGATTCATGAATTTGTGCACCAGTGGGGTCCCTCAGCCTGGCCTGTGGGATCCGGCTGAAACCAGTTCTCTGACATCACCTGATGAGTCCCAGATTGTAAGAGAGCAAAGGCCAGGCTGAGGGACCCCACTGGTGTTCAGTCAGGGATAGGGAGAGACCCAGGAGGTTGGCTAGCCAGGGAGGGACCGCAGGAGGCCTCCAGGGTGTGTTGAGCCAGTCTCACTCAGCTCAGATCCGTAGAACCTCAGCAGCAAGCTAACCTACCAGTCATAGTGAGCAATTGAGCAGCCTTAGCATATCATTAGCATATTACACTTTGATTGGTTGAATCAACTAATGAGTTTGCCAATCACTGGGATAGGGGCTTAATCACAAGGAACAACAATAGCCTGTAATTATTAGAATGGACAGTCTAGGTCAGAGGTTGGCAAACTCATTAGTCAACAGAGCAGCAAACCACAGCTCGAAAGCCGCATGTGGCTCGCAAGCCGCAGTTTGCCGACCACTGGGTTGAATGAATGACTGGACACTTAGCATATTAGGCTCTTATTGTACAGGGTTGCTTAGACTAGTGTTTCAGTCTCCAGGTTAAGATGCATTTGTGAGTTTTGAAATCAGTTTAGTGGGAACACTAAGTCTTTTTTTTTTTTTTTTTATGTTTTTGTTGATTTCAAAGAGTAAGGAAGGGGAAATGGAAACATTAATGATAGAGAATCATTGATCGGCTGCCTCCTGCACACCCCCTAATGGGGATTTAGCTTGCAATCCCAGGCATGTGCCCTGACTGGGAATCGAACCATGATCTCCCTGTTCATGGATTGACACGCAATCACTGAGCCACACCAATTGGGCAACACTTAATTTTTAAAACATTAACTAGAAAGCAAAATACCAAAATTATCGCACATAGTATGGGTAAGTATTGTTTTGTGAAACTTTTGTTTATTCACACATTTGTGTTGGATCTTGATGTAAAAATTATGTAGGTCCTATCAAAAATTTGAAAGCCACTTTAGAATTTGAATATAAGTTGGTTATTTTAAACTTTTTAAAAAAAATATATATTTTATTGATTTTGTACAGAGAGGAAGGGGGGGAGAGAGAGAGTTAGAAACATCAATAAGAAAGAGTCATCGATCAGCTGCCTCTTGCACACCCCCTACTGGGGATATGCCCGCAACCAAGATACATGCCTTTGAGCGGAATCGAACCCAGGACCTTTCTGTCCCCAAGCCGACGCTCTATCCATTGAACCAAACCAGTTTCGGCATAAGTTGGTTTTTTTAATGTAAAAAGATATTTTAAGTTATTGGTGATGGACACATCTATTGGCAAAAACTAGTAAAGGAACAGAGAATAAGAAGAAAATGGTATACAGAAGTTTAATCTAGGGACACTGAAACCAGGGTAAGACTTATCAGGGAGCTTCCTGGGGATGAGCAAGTTATAAAATGGAAGAGGCAGATGCTATTTAACACCAGACAGCCATGTTTTGAGCACCTAGAGTATGTCATGCCCTTGTGTGTACATGGGCAAATCACCCTCCGTCTGAGTTCAGTAGTGAGTTACTGTTAGCATGGTTTTACATTTCTACTTTGTAAGGTTTACTTAATCCAAACTGGCTTTGTATACTACCTTTTATTCAGATCTGAGACTTACCTATTTCAGTTTGAGATTTTTGTAAGAATAGACATTCTGGTTCTCTTGAGAGCAGTTCTTATTTAACAGTCTTAAAAATAGATGAAGTCAGTTTTATAAGTATAGAAGGAATACAGACAACTGTAATTAAATCTCTGAACAAATTTTTCTTTCCTGATTAGTCTTATTAAAATCAATTTGAGAGAGAGAGGAAGAGGGAGAGAGAAACATTGATGGGAGAGTGAGAAATCAATTGGCTGCCTACTATGTACCCCCTATTGAGGATTGGGCCCACAACCAGGGCACATGCCCTGACCACAGGGAATGGAACCAAACACTTATTGGTTGGTTCATGCAGCTACTGAACCACACTGATGGGGCTCCTGATTAGACTCTTTATTTTTTTTATATATATATCTACTGCTATTTTCCTATTTAAGTACTTCCTGTGCTTTCCACATCAAAACAGTAGGGTGTTCAGACTTGTTAGGTGAAGTGACTGCTTTTTAAGAGTTTTTACCTAATGATCTTAAAAAAAAAAATTATTATTACAGAATTGTTCAAACATTTTGGATAGGAATAAAACTACATAATTTTCATCTTTAAAAACATTTTGCAGCCTTAGCTTACTACAATATCTTTTTTTTTTTTTAATTCAGCAATTCATGATGACCAATAAATTGGACACAGCAATGTGGCTTTCTCGCCTGTTCACAGTGTACTGTTCTGCTTTGTTTGTTCTGCCTCTTCTTGGGTATGTATTATATCTATTTCTGCCTTTGTTATTCAGTTGTTTAGTCAAGTTTTATGGATTATCTTTTAAGTACAAGACTTGCTAAACTGCAAGAAATTCAGGGACAATTAAAAGACAAGTCTCTAAGGCACTAATAACCTAATGTTACTAACAAGAAGAATATATTATGTGGAAACTGACATCACATTGAAATCTGAGAGAAAATAGATGTGTGGAAATGAGTTTATATTTTTTTGCATTTTTTACTCAACAGGAAAAATGGCTTCTTTGTAAAAGTCAATTGGATATATATATGAAATGATGCTTCTAATGATTCTATTAAATTCTAAAAAGATATTTTTATTGATTTCAGAGAGAGAGAGAAAGAAACATCAATGATGAGAGAGAATCATCAATCTGCTGCCTCCTGCACACACACACACACACACACACACACACACACACACTCCTTAGGGATTGAGTCTGAAACCCGGGCATGTGCCCTGATGGGGACTTGAACCGTAACCTCTTGGTTCATAGGTCTATACTGAACCACCAAGCCACACCAGTGTAATTTTCTTCTGCTTATAATTAAGTAATAGATTTAGGTGTTGTGCAATTATGATGCAATTCACAAAGGAGGAAGAGGCATGGTAGTTGTTTATGTCTCATGATAACCTCTCCTCTGGTAATTTTCAGGTTGCATGAAGCAGCAAGCTTTTATCAACGCGCTTTGCTGGCAAATGCTCTTACCAGTGCTCTGAGGCTGCACCAAAGATTACCGCACTTCCAGTTAAGCAGAGCATTCCTGGCCCAAGCTTTGCTAGAGGACAGCTGCCACTACCTGCTGTATTCACTCATCTTTGTCAATTCCTATCCTGTTACAAGTATCCTTTGTACCTTTTGACAATGAAATTGCCCATTGCTATGGCCAGAGTAGAAAATAAAGTCACGGGATAATCAATCTCTGGAGCGAATGAAAATTAAAGAACTCATTTGTAATTTGTATGTTTACACATTTCAAAAGTGTTGTGGGATGATAATAAGTATTCTAAAAAATGGGAAAGGGATAAAGGGGTGTACTGTTTAGTCTGCAAAGAACTTGGTTAACCCATAGGTTTCTTTACTATAAGACCTTTGAAATGCTAATGTACTTTGTGAGACTAAAAGTTACTAGTGTTTCCTAAACTTAATTGTTTTAATTGTTATTTTCCTCCTGTGGATCATCTCTCAGGAAAGTGATTTGTGCTTTGAGAAGTGAGAAGTGCTGCTCTTAAAGAGTATTTGAATAATTTATACAACTATACATAATGGAAGCAATAAATCTTTTAAGACTAAATACTACCTTTTTAGGTAATAAGTCTTAAAGGGAATAGGAGGAAAGTCAAATTATTTGAGCATCTATTTTGCCTATATATGAATTTGACATATTTAATTCTTGCAAGACTGAAAAAAATTGTCATTGAATTCATTTTAGCAGATGCCATTTCAGATGTGAATATTTGGACATAATACATAGCCTATTTTGCAAAGTACTTGATAAATTTAAAATGTTTCCTTAATTTTTTCTTCAGTGAGTATTTTCCCAGTCTTGTTATTCTCTTTGCTTCATGCTGCCACATACACAAAAAAGGTTCTTGATGTAAGTAAAACTATTCAGGTTTGTTTTTTGTTCGTTCGTTTGTTTTGTTTTCTTTTTTACTCCTGACAAGAATTTGAGCTAGTTGTCATGAATTTGTGCCGGGAACCAATTCCAGCATGTAATAATTACAAGAATTTTACCAAAAGGTTGGTGAAACTTGGGCAGGTCAACAAGGATGAGCCATATATAGAGTTTACCTGTTGGAAATGGCTAAACGGCACTTCCCCCAAACCTGAATAGGATAATTGTTAACTGCCAGACAGCTCAGGGCATTTTATTGCCTCCTGTTGGCCAAACACCTGAACAGCTGTAGGCTATTCCCCAAACAGACAATGCTTCTGTACCCTACCCTTTGAAGTGTATGTGTCTACCTTGCCTTAGGACAAATTGTGTTGAATAAATACCATGGGTTCCTTAGACTAGAGTCTTTAGTTCCTTTAGCTGAAGCTCCTCTGACCCCCAATGCCTTTCAAAATTATCTTTCCTCTCAGGACTCTCTAATCATCTACATGCAGCCCCTTTCTCCAGAATGCTGAACCCTTCGTAAGGCTGGGACAAGAACCCCGGCATTATGGCGCCCGAACAGGGATCACCCTTTCTGATTTTTTAAAATTAAACAATGTGAACACTAAGACATTTTGGCTTTTGTCACAAAAAGCTCCTCTAATCCTTACAAACTTGTCCTAAATTATTTAATGATTTGAAAGTTTTAAGTTTGGAATATTTTATTTACATTTCATAATACAGTATATTTTGTAGATAAAATAGTGCATTTAAAATTATCCCTCAGTTCCCAGAGGAATTTCTGAAGTTGAAATAGATCTCTTCATTATTTAAAGAAATTGAATCTTTTAGGTTTGATACGTTATTAGAGAGCTGTTCTGTCAGTATTAAATTCTAACATATCAGTCCAGTAGAGTGTACTGAATTTCTTTTATTCTAAGGTTCTGATGTGCTACTTTACTAAAATTTCTTAATCTTTGGTTGGTACATTAAGCCTAACATAAGTGTGCTAGGCAGATTGACTGCATATGCACTGAAGTTTGAATTAAAATATCAAAATTTGCCTTGTGTTGGCCTTTTTCTTTATCCCTATTGTTCTTTGGTCACAATTGGACTTGGTGATTTCTATCTTTAGTTAGCTAAGGAGTCAGATAATTTAAATGTATTACTGGATGGTCAGGTTTTGTTATGGTTGGAGAGAAATAACTGCCGTTTTTCTAATCTTAAGAAATAAAGGACTTGTATTAAAGTTGTTTTTATTTTTAAATTTTCAAGTACATAAAAAATATAATAAAGCAAGTAAATACACTAACTTTGTCCTTAAGTAGTTTCTTATTTTATATCATCATTTCCAAATATTTGTCTTTTGCTTGTTTGGCCTGTTGAATATGCTATTTATCTAAAGAAAGAAAATAGAGTGATCAGAAATGCTTTGTTTTTTCTAATGTTTGTTTTCTGTTTTAGGCAAAGGGTTCAAATAGTATACCTCTGCTGAGATCCCTCTTGGACAAATTAAGCGCCAATCAACAGAATATTCTGAAATTCATTGCTTGTAATGAAATACTCTTGATGCCTGCTACAGTTTTTATGCTTTTTAGGTAAGAATGAATATACATTTGTTTTAGGAGGTTGATGACTAAGTGACTATAATAAATATATTAACTTGAATTTTATCCTGCTTCAGTCTGTTAAATAGATCCTGATATGTAGAGCTAGAAGGATCTTAGCAATTACCTTTTCACTTCATAGTGGAGAACCTGAGACAAAGTAAACCTGGGAACATGTCTTATTTATCATTCTTAGTCACTTATCATTTAACATTTGGAAAGTTAATTTCAGAATAACTACATTTGAAAGAATCTTGGGAAGTCTAGTACATTCTATTATTAAGATGAATTTTCTTTATGCTAGAGAAAAATCTGGAATTGTTATCTATTTTTCTAATTAATTATGGTCTAGAATTAATTTTTGCTTACACCACCTCAATAGTTTGTATCTTAATTGCAGAAGTGAGGCAAGGGAAAGAGGGAGAGAGAAAGAGAGAAATAATACATGACTAAATAAAGTCCTCCTTTTAAATTTTAAGAAAAATAGAGTATTGATTATTCCATCGATATTCTTGCGTTTAAGTTTTAAAACTACCTTTCTGTCAGGATTATTGCTTTTTCAATTTTTACTTTCACAAGTATTGGAACACTCCGTTTGACTATGAATCCTAATAGCAATTCTGCCCTCTCCTTCCCAAGTATATGGCGTTTGATATTGTACATGTATGTTGTCTTTAAAGAAACTTACGCAGATGGGTACAAAATGTATATTATTGTGGGTGAAGGGTTTTGTTTGTTTAGTTTTTATATTACATCAAAAGTATCAGAATGCATCAATTGTCTGCATTTTGCCTTCTTCACTCATACAGTGTATTTTTGTGACCTATTTATGTTGACATTCAGAGTTCTTATTTGTGGCTATGTAGTCCATCATGTTAGCATGGAACATTTTATTATGCATTCCCTTATTTATAGACATTTGTTTCCAAGTAAGTTGTATTTACTTTTCCAAATAAATAAGCAGACAAATAGAAACAAACAAATGTTTTTATTTGTCTGCTTATACTTTTCTCTCATTGTTATTTCTAACATAGATACCTGAATTGATTTTGCTGAGTCTAAGCTGGGTGCATTTTATATTTAATAGACCATGGTTTATGAAGTATTTTAATGTTCATTGCCTACGGTTTTTATGTACCTGACAGTTATTCCTTTCTTTAACACTCTCTTTTCAAGGTAGTAAGAGTTTTATTAATTTCCTCATAAAGGTATCTGTTCCATTCTTTTAATTTATGTTTTCCCCTGAAAAACAAAAAACAAAAAACAGATTCACCACATATTGCTTAAGTTGTTGGGTCCTAAATAGATAGTTTAACCTAAATAAAGTTCTGGAACGATATAATGGATTTAGATATGATAGGTATTACTGATTTTATATATATATATATATATATATATATATATATATATATATATATATATATATATATATATATATATAAAAGCCTAAGCAACCATCTGACCATTTGCCTGGTATCTATGACACACAATGACCACCAGGGGGCAGACAGTCCAACCAGTAGAGAAGGGAGCCCGAATCCTTTTGGAATTAGCCATGGGTTAGGTTGCTGCTGACGCACTGTTGGCCCCAAATCTGCTTCATCTACACCCTGGATTGTGAGAGGGTGCAGGCCAGGCTGAGGGACTCACCAGTGCACGAATCCATGCACTGGGCCTCTAGTTTGATTAATAAAGACACATCCTCCAATTAAATTGCCTTAAGTTTTAAGAGTATGTATATGAATTAATGATGTATACTTACTACCTCTGTATTTGTTTCTTTTAGCGGTCAAGGAAGTTTGCTCCAGCCTTTTATATACTATAGATTTCTTACTCTCCGATACTCTTCTCGAAGAAATCCATATTGTCGGTAAGCTGGGGATTAGTTCAAATCTGTTTTATTTGTTAAGAGTATTGTGAAATATAGTATTTGTACATTTAAATTATTTTGCGCATATATATATTTTTTTAATTTATTTATTTATTTTTTAATTGATTTCAGAGAGGGAGAGATAGAAACATCAATGATGAGAGAGAATCATTGTTTGACTGCCTCTTGCACATTCCCTACTGGGGACTAAGCCCAAAACCTGGGCATGTACCCTGACCAGGAATTGACCATGTTATCCTGATTCATCATAGGTCAAAGCTCAACCACTGAGTCATGCCAGCCAGGCTAAGTTAGTTCAATTTTATGATAGAGTTTAGAAACAAACAATGTTTTTGTACATTTAGGCTTTAGAACTATCTAGGGTTGGTGAGAAGGTGGTTGTATTTCCTTTTTTAAAAAAAATATATACTTTTATTGATTTCAGAGAGGAAGGGAGAGTGAAAGACAGAAACATCAAACATCAATGAGAGAGCATCATTGATTGGCTGCCTCCTGCACACCCCACAGGGGCCCGACCCCACAACCCAGCATGTGCCCTGACTGGTAATCCAACTATTATATGATCTCCTGGTTCATAGGTTTGATGTTCAATCACTGAGCCACACCAGCCGGGTGGTGGTTGTATGTCTTTTCGAAAACTGAGATTGGCCCTAGCTGGTGTAGCTCAGTTACTGGGCATTGTCCCATGCACCAAAAGGTTTCTGGTTCCATTCTGGTCAGGGCAAGGCCTGTTTGTGGGCTCCATCTTTGTTAGGGGGCAAGCTGGAGGCAGCCGATTGATGTTTCGCTCACACATGGATATTTCCAAATTTCCTTCTTGTCTTTGTGCAAGGACATATTACACCCCCCCCCCTTTTTTTTAATATCTTTATTGATTTCAGAGAGGAAGGGAGAGGGAAAAAGGGATAGAAACATTAATGATGTGAAAGAATCATTGATTGGCTGCCTCCTGCACATCCCCCAATGGGGATCAAGCCTACAACCCAGGCACGTGCCCTTGACCGGAATTGAACCCAGGATCCCTCAGTCCGCAGCTGAAGCTCTACTCACTGAGCCAAACGAGCTAGGCGCGCCTCCCCCCCCCCCCCTTTTTTTTTTTTAAATCCTCACCTGAGGATATGTTTTCATTGATTTGTTTGTTTTTTGAGAGAGAGAGAAGAGAAACATCAATCAGTTGTCTCTCATATGTACCATGACCAGGATTGAACCCACCATCTTTTGGTTTTTGGGATAATGCTCTTAAGTAGCTGAGCCACCTGGCCAGAGCTGCTTTTTTTAAAAAAAGTTTTTATTAACTTTTTACATAGAGGAAGGGAGAGGGATAGAGAGTTAGAAACATCAATAAGAGAGAAACATCGATCAGCTGCCTCGTGCACACATCCTACTGGGAATGTGCCCGCAACCAAGGTACATGCATGCCCTTGACCAGAATGGAACTTGGGACCTTTCAGTCCAAAGGCCGATGCTCTATCCACTGAGACAAACTGGTTAGGCCAGGGCTCCTTTTTTATTTGTTTAAGCAGTACATTATTGCTTTTTCCTAACTATAAAAATAACATGGAAGATACAGAAAAGTAGAGCAGGAGTTGTCTTTATACAGAATGAGTCAGCACATAAGGTGAAAATTATTACCTTTGATGATTAATTACAATACAAGATCCATGATACTGTGTCTGCTAGCCTGTACTATATATATGTGATGTGTACCGTGTGTAATAAAGAGTACTTTGTAGGCAAGGAGCACAATTAAGGTAAAGTCAAGTCTTCAACCAGCTTTCGGCACAAACATGCAAGATAACTGGAACATGGGAGTCGGGGCAGAGAGTGGCAGGAAATGAAGAAAATTGATTGAGACAGATTCTGGAGGGCGTTAGATGTTGAGGAGTTGGGCTTTAGTCTGAAGGATACAGTGCCAGTCTGGTCAGTGTGATGATCCAGCTGTGATGTAATACCCATTGAGCATCTCCTTCACTACTTCACTACATCTCCGCTAAGTGCCTGTTCCTATTTTTCAGGTGAAAGCTCTAGGAAACAGTATGTTTCTTTAAGGACATAGTAGGTGGGATTGCCCATGTTATATAATTTTCATTTTCTTCTTTTTTTTAGAACTAGTTGGATTTGCCTAAGTTAAATGTGAAAATGATATGACTCCACTGTAAGGATAGAAATCATCCCTAGTCTCAGCCCTCAGAGATAGCCATTTATTAAATGCTTTTGTTAAATGAACTTTTCTCCCCCGAAGGACAGGTGTTGATTTGAGAATTTTATTTTGTGATTTCCAGGAAAAACTGTTGGCAATGCATTCTAGTTATTTCTTTTATTTCTTCACATTCTTAATGGTTGTGGGAAATTCCATCATTAGCATTTGCCTTGCATTGTGTTGCTTTTTCCCTGTGTTTCTGAACAAGATCTATTTATTTTGCAGGACCTTGTTTAATGAATTGAGGATTATTGTTGAACATCTAATAATGAAACCCGCTTGCCCTCTGTTTGTGAGAAGACTTTGTCTCCAGAGCATCGCCTTTATAAGCAGATTGGCACCAACAGTTGCGTAGTTTAATGTCCAGCTAAGTTATATATGATATAAATAAGCATTATTAGCAACTGGTACTTCTGCCAGGGGTTGTGAATTCCAGGTGTGAAACTGACCTCAATCCAACTTACATATTTACATAAATGCATCTTAATGGAAAAATATTTCCCTGGCATGTTAAATCAAGCCTTTATAAAACAAAAAGTTTCCAAGAAAATTCTGTGTTGTGTTGTTAATGGTTAAGGAAGTTTGTATTTTGTAATAAATGTATCTCTTTTTTTTTTAGATGCTACTGTGCCTTTATCATGTACATTTATTTCTCTTGTAAAAATAGTTTAAAATTTATTTCAATCTAATTGGTGATCTGAATTTATTTATATCTTGCATTAGTTCTTTATGGTAAATTTACATATGTGAATTCAGTATATTTTGAGACAGTATTCTTTTGCCATTATGAATTTTGGTTGATGATTTTAACTGAAGCATTTCCCACTGTATTTGGTTTCAAATTGTTATTAAATTGATTTTGTGCTGCTTTGCTAAGACAGATTTATTTTGGATGTGCCATTATAAGAGGAGTTCTGTATGTGTCTTACACTATGACCTTCCAAAATTTTATTTCCATAATTCTGTAGATTTGAATATTTTTTAAAAGGCTCAACTATAAGCTTACTAGCCAATTAAATAAATATTTGGAATTACCCAACCATTTTACATCAGAGAGCAGTAGTCCTACAACTTTCCTTTCTTACCCATTGAGTAATATTTCTCAGACAGGAAATCCTTCTTTTACAGTATGGACACATTATTAGTATAGTTTTAGAATTGCCTAGATCAGATTCTTGACTATCAACTTTCTCTGTTTCTTAGGCTTGAATTTTCATGGACAGTTGCAGCAGTGCAGGTACCTTTTGAAAAGAATATAACTGAAGATCATATGACTGATTCTTAGTGTCTGTTCTGAAATGATAATGAAGACTATCCTATAGATTATATACCCAGAAAATCTTATTGAAAGGTTAAATGGAAAGGTTTATAGGTAAGGCGATTGATTGGGAATGCTGCATGAGGAGGCATTTTGGGAGAATAGTGTACATTTCAGTTTCATGCTGGATAAATAAAATTGGGGGAATTGGATGTATTATGCAACTGTGATTTGAGTTGTGTAATATGTTAAATCCTACTTGTTGAACTTCTACCAACTCTATAAAATTTATTTTGATCTTTGTTGTTACATGATTGGAAATGTCTAAAATGTTGCAAAAAGTTTAGTACAGAATAATGTAATGATTTTTGTAACCAGTTTTCTTCTGTCTGCATGTAATATGGACTCTTCAAATACATTCATTGGTAACTTATTAATAACATCAGGTTTTTTGTTCAACTTTCAGATCTATAGGAATATGATATCTACTTGATAGCTCAACCATAACCAGCTCTTTTTGTAATATTTTTCTACTAAGTTTGAGAAGCAGCCTCATAATATACAGTTGATTTTGTGTGTACGTGTTTGTGGCTCATTATCACTATATATATATAATCTGATGATTTCAAGAACTAAATTTTCTAGAGCAATAAAGTGACTATAATGTTAAGTGAACAATATATTATTGATTTCTAATGGGTTTTTAAAAATTATGTCTTGAATTAAATCAAGAAATTTTGGCAGTGAATGCATATTTATTTTTAAGTTTATGTTTTTTATGTTTTGTTTTTTGCAATTTTTTAAATCTTGAGATAATTTTAGATTTATAGGAGAGTTGCAAAAATAATAAGAGTTCCTATATATCCTTTACTTACCCTTATGTTAACATCTTATTTAACTGTACAACATTTATCAAAATTGTGACATTAACCCTAGATAATATTGTTAACTAAACAATAGAACCTATTCAGATTTCACCAGTTTTTACATTTATTAATATCCTTTTTGCTCTGTTTTTACCATAATTATTATGGTTTACTTTTAATGCCCTTTAAGTGTTTCTCTGCTTTGAGTTTTATTTTTATTGTTGAGGATACTACAGATGCTCCCCATTTTGTCCTCTTGCCCCCAACTGTTTTTTTGAAAATTATTGTTGGTCAAAAAGATTTTCTAAGGAAAAGAATTGATGTTGATTTTAACAAAAAGAATGTGAACATTTAGACCTTAAAGGCTTTCTATCAAAAATGGGATTGCATATTTGACATGCTCATGTGTGACTTAAAGCAAGGCTTGATTTATAAATAAAACATTTCTATATTCATGCCAAAGTAAATTTTACAATTTGAACATTACCAGATTTTCAGTTTGCATGAATTTGTAATCAGAAATTCTATGGTATAAAAACATACAACCAGCTAATAATGGCATCTGAAATTATAGTGCAATGTATACCTATTGAATAAAAATTAAGGAAACACAATAGCAGTATATAGAATGAATGCAGTAGGAAAAATAGCAGCATAGCTGAGCTTATTTCTACTAACAGGATTTTATAAAGTTGATTTAACATCCAAAATATTGAATTCTTTAAGAAGTATGTAGTACACTTAAGGTGTACTTTTAGATATCACACTCTCTCAGACAGGTGGAAGCATCTTACAAAACCTGCTTTTTTTAGCAGCAAGTCTACATTCCTTTTCTCTACTTGATTGCTCATAAATTTCAACTCTATAAAGTTACTTGGAATAAAGTTACCAAGGTAGATGCTCCTGGAAGTAAGCAAGAATAAAAGCTAGCTTTTTAAATTTTTTTTTTAATTTAGATATTTAAGAACCTCCCTTACATGGAAAATCAAGGCATGCTAATATTAGACCAGAAGTTATTACAGATTCATGAGGTCTTGTATAACTAAGAATTATAAAGCTGTCAGAATACTTTTTTCTTAAAAGTCAGGATCACAAATTCAGATTAGGTTTGTAAGTTTAGGACATAAATGTTATTCATCTGGAAAAATAAAATGAGTATATATGTAATAAGACAAGTAAAACTGGTTTAGTTTTTTAAAGTTTGCTATCAGACTGAATTATATTAATTTTGAGAGATTATGGGACTTTTTATTAATATAGTTATTCTAAAGAAACCGGTTTGTCTCAGTGGATAGAGCATCGGCCTGGGGACTGAAAGGTCCCAGGTTCGATTCCGGTCAAGAGCATGTAACTTGGTTGCGGGCACTTCTCCAGTAGAGGGTGTGCAAGAGGCAGCTCATCAATGATTCTCTCTCATCAATGTTTCTAACTCTATCCCTCTCCCTTCCTCTCTGTAAAAAAATCAATAAAATATATTTTAAAAATAAATTTAAAAAATAAATAAAGCATTCTCCCTACCCAAATCCCCTTAAGATCTGCTAGCATAAATGCTATTAATCCAGATTTACATTAACTTCGCTACCTATTTTGTCCAAAACCTCAAGGGAGAAAATAATTATAGACAGGTAATTACAGATCAGTAGGTGTCACTCTCAAATAGCGTCCCAGTATCACATGCCCTGTTGGAAAGTTAAAAGCTACTAAAAGGGCTGAGACAGCCATAAAGTTAAGAATCTTAATTCCACAACCTTTTAAAATACGTAATTACTCAATATTCAACCAGTATTTAGCAAGCATTTACTGAATACATTTTTAGAATATTGAAATGTTCAAAAGCTGAAAGAAGTATCCTGTTAATACCTGCTTTCTAGGTAAACAGTAAAATAGACTATAATTATGAGAGTTATTATTCAGATCATGGTCTTTTTTTTTTTTAATTTCATTGTAAGTTTCTACATCACCTAAACACAGCAATTATAAAATTGTTTTTTCCTCCTTCATTTTCAGGTATGTAGAATAAATAAAAATTTTTTCATGGTCATTTTGTAAGTACACAAGGTATAGGCAGTTCAATCTCTTAAAATTTAAGCTTTCATAGAAATACAAATGCATATTGAAATTTTTGAATATTGTATTAGGAATGGTACCTAACCCTAGATGATTTGGCTCTGGGTAGAGCGTGGACCTTCGGACTGAAGGGTCCCACGTTTGATTCCAGTCAAGAGCACATGCATGGGTTTTAGACTTGATCCCCAGTGGGGAGCATGCAGAAGGCAGCAAATCAATATTCTCTCTAATCATTGATGTTTTTATCTCTCCCTCTTCCTTCCTCTGTGAAATCAATAAAAATATATTTTAAAAAATTTTTAAAGAAAAGGAATATTACCTAGACTTGTAAATTCTGTTTGAGTTTCAGAGACAATTAGTTCTTAACACCTCATTGGAATTTCTCTAGGATTAGGAGAATTCTACAGAGGCTTAATGATAGTGTAGCTCAACAGATAATATATAAAAATATGTTTATATATCCAGGAGTTATTTTCAGAGATTGTTTTAATGAGCATTCCTCTTATAATATTCCAGGTGGGAAGTTATTATGGGATCTGAAATTAAGGATAAGAAAGGAGCTGCTAAAATTTTGGGAGGTGACTTGGGAGTGAACGCAATACAATATATGATATGTTATAGAATTGTGCACCTGAAACCTATATAATTTTATTAACCACTGTCACTAGAATAAACTCAACTTTGGGTGGGGAGATTTCCTGATAGTAGTAGTTATTCTAGGACATGTTTACCTCCCAAGGTGACATTCAAGTGGGTTCTTAAGAGAAACACATTCCTGTGTGAGGGATTAACTCAAAGTAGTCTTTCTCTATTTGTGTAGTGCAAATAGGAAAAGTGACCTGCATTGACTTTTAGATGATGTGAGAAGAGAGTAAAGTACAGTATTTTTTAAAATCTAAAGTAGATTATTTTTCTTAGAAAGTGATGGTAAAAAATTATTGATGGATATCTTTGTTGGAATCTAAAAATTAGCTCCTATTTCAGGAAAAAGGGGCCCTAAAATCATTTCACTTTTTCCTTCCTAGCCTCCTGAAGCTACTTTTTTGATGTGTTCAGTATTTTTTAAACATTTTTTTCTTGTTTCATGACAGTTTAGCTCCAAACTTGGACTGTGTTTTTATAACTTTAAAGTAAAACAATTGCTTTTGACATGAATGTTTGCATACATACATGAGTTAAGACCAAATGGGCAAAGTCTTGGGCAGGTAACATTTGTGATGTGTTATATTGGAAGAAATGTTAAAGGGTCGCAATATTAGAGTAAAAAAAAAAAAAAAAAAAACCTGCTTGATTTATAAATGCATTACTTCTGGTGCTCTATATAATGGGATATATTGAACTAAAAATTTGTATAAATTATATGTCAGCATTTCTTAGTAACTTCTCAAATCCATTTTTAATATCTAATATTGTACAGGTTGGGGAGTTATACTTTTCAGGCCAATACTATCCAGACTATATAAATTTATAAAATAAATTGAAAAATTCATCATTCCCTGGTATTCAAGACCAAAGCACATAAATGCTAATGTAGGGCTCAGAGGGGAAATATATTTCTCCTGAATATTTGAGAAAATGTGAAGTCCCTTCAGGAAAATCTAATAAACATAATCATAGCCTGCTGACACTAAGGAAAAAGGACCTCATTTGCTCTTTCTTTTATTCAGCGATTTATTGGTCCCTACTGATTTCCAAATTGGATTACTGTAGTAAATTATCTATGCTGGTACCTGTGAAAGGAAGCCCTGGGATCCACATTTGTGTTGTGTTCTGCTTAAATCAGCAAGAATGATAAATTTGCCGGTGTGGAACTGGAAGTGTCAAGGGCTTTCTCTGGTGATTGAGCAAAATAATGTCTCCACTTGTAATTTATTGTGCCCCCTTTTCACTGTATGTTCTTTGTATATCTAATATTTATTTCAGTACAAATTAAATTGTTGTCCCTTCATCTGTATTGTTATATCTAAGATTTTATTGATGTAAAAATCAAATTGTATAATAAAAAACTCTCTGGATTTAAGCAGGTTTGAAAATGTTATGTTGCAGAAAACATTTACAGTTAGAATTGAGCTTTCCATTGTACTTCATTGCCTTATTGTTAGGGTAAGGTGAATTTGAACATTTCTGTTGTCCTCAGTTCATCACAAGTAATAGAAATGATATAATTTTGTGGTCTAATATGAAACTGGAAAAAAATTACAGTGGATCTGTCAGTGGCTTGCCTGCTTCCTTCTGTACTTTTGTTAGTGAAATTTACAGCCTACTGTAAAAGTTTTTTATAACCATAAAATGATTGGCAATATACAATACATCCAAAGTCATAAGTCAATACAGGATGACACAAGAATATATTTTCCTTCTAGGTGTTTATAGTTGGCAGATACATATTTTCTGTGTAAATTTTTAACGTGTACTAAGCAAAACACACTACAAGCAAGTTAAATCTTTGTCCATTTAGAGATCATAATGTAAGAGGCATTATGGGAATCTATTGTGTAAAAGACCATTCTGATAGTTGAGTAAATACTAAATTAGTACATGAATTATCCACATAAGGGGAAAAGAGTATTAGGAAAATGGATTTCCTAAAGATTTAATGGTGAAGAGTCTTCCCTAAGAGCCTTACGTATTGTTAATTCATATGTTCTTCCCTTTATTGTGTGGTAACACATGGAGCTGTTTTATAACATAATTCTGTGCTTTGAGAAGGAAAGGGCCATCTCATTCCTCAAGGCTGGCTGATAAAGACTTCGCAAAGAAGTGGCCACTGCGATCCTTGGGTCTAAGGATCAGTCTAAGCAGGTGATTTGTCAACAAAGTGCTTTGTAAAGTTTATTATGGTGAGTTATGAACTTTACATAAAAATAGAATGTATAATGAACCTCCCTTCTCTTTATTGCCCAGCCTTAACCAGTCCTGCAGCCCTGCCTTATCTTTACCTGTGTTCACTTTCCCTTCTGATTCAAGTCATTTCACACCACTTAGTAAAACTTCCATCATGTGCTTCAAAAATCCGTTTTAGTATCAATATAAAAAAAACCATGTTTTTTTTAGATTTAGGATGACTGGAGTGACTAAGAATAATGTCCTGATGTGAAAAAGGCTTCCACAATTTTATAACGAGCATGAGATGAAGGGAGAGGGAAATTCTGCTAGTTTTCAGAAAAAGACTTTTCTCCCTATATTTGTGCCCTCAGAGAAAGACATCCTCTTGGCAAGATGATAGATTTTTGCCTTCCCACACCATACTATCCTCCCCTAAAGGAGATAGTTGAAAACAGGGAAGTGTGGGATTTTGGTGGTCTTACCAGAAACAGTGGGGCAGGTAAGTTCTTCAAAGAAAGAACTACTGCTAACCATAGAAGGGGGTAAGTAATTTGGCGCTGTGACACTAGAGTAAGAAGGATTTCAGGTGGGAAAAGGCATAGAGGGGATCAACGGTGATGGGGAAAAAATTTTTTTTTAAAGCATTTAATATTAGAACCATTGTTCTTGTTAAATTTCCTTGTAAACAGTTCCAAGTAATTAAATTGTGAGATTTAGGTAAATTTACTTCCAATTTTACTTTTAAATTTATAGCCTTTAAAAATTACCCAGTAGTTTGTGTTTTTGTTTTTTGGTTTGTTTTGTTTTGTTTTGTTTTTTCCATTACATTCTTCAACTTTGGAGCTCTACAAACATTATTACTTACAGTCCCAAAAGTAATAGGACAATTCATTTAAGTAACAAATCAAAATCCCTAAAGACAAAAGAATGAAATTTGCAGTGATCCAGAATAAAGTGGATATATCTTTTTTTCAACTCATAAGATACAGTTACATAAACAGGCTTCTCCAATCTGAAGTAACAATCTTTGACACTGAATTATCAGGTTCATGTTTCATAGTTCAAGTTAGTAAAGGCATAATCTTATTAAATGTTTAGAAATTACATTTTTGTTCCTTTACCTAAAAGGCTAAACTTCATTTTTGGATTTGTACTATTGGGCTTATTCTGAACTAGTGTTTTGTTTTTGTTTTTTAAAATTTCTTTATTAAGGTATTACATATGTGTCCTCATCCCTCCATTTCCCCACCAACCCATGCCCCCCCCCCCCCCCCCCCCCCCACACACACACACACACTCTCATGTCCTCACCCTAGTGTGGTGTTTTAAGATCAACATTATTTTTATTTATCATCATTGGAGGATATGTTTTCATTGATTTTTAACAAAAAGGGGAAAGAGAGAGAAAAGTATCAGGTGGTTGCCTGCCGAGCAACCTATGTATGTGCCCTAATCGGGAATCAAACCCCTTCTAGTGAATAGGATGACATTCCAACAAACTGAGCAACCCAGGCAAGGCTTGAATTAGTTTATTTATTTATTATTGATTTTTTTACAGAGAGGAAGGAAGAGAGAAACATTGATGAGAAACATCAATCAGCTGCCTCCTGCACACTCCCTACTGGAGATGTGCCTGCAACCAAGGTACACGCCCTTGACCGGAATCAGAATTAGTGTTTTTTTTTTATATGAACTTTATAGTAGTCGCCTTAACTGAGGACAATACTCAATTTCAAAATAAAAACTATATATATATATTTGATTTCAGAGAGGGAGAGATAGAAACATCAATAATGAGAGAGAACTATTGATCAGCTGCCTCCTGCATACCCCCTACTGGGGACTGAGCCCACAACCATGCATGTGCCCCCAACAGGAATCGAACCTGGGACCCATCAGTCCACAGGCTGACGCTCTATCCACTGAGCCAAACCAGCTAGGGCAGAACATTTCTTAGAAAAATATTGGAACAATGTTTAGAAAAATATTTTAATTTGGGCCCTTTTATATTTTCAGTTATATGAATATATTTCTGGGAATAAAATATATTTTAAAGTGAACAGTAATTAAACACCCTAATAAAACTACCAGAGGGATCTTCTTTTTGTTGTTGTTGTTTTTTTGCCTTTTTAATATTGTGGTAAAGTCAAAGGATATGCAAGGCTTATTACAACTTTATGTTCATTATGCTCAAAAGGTTTTGTGGAAGTTACAGTTAACTATACATATTTATATAGTACTAATGTGCTTTCAAGAGCATCATAATCTTTTAACCCTTTGACATTAAAATGTACAACTAACCTTGAAGCAGGTTTATAAAGTCTTTGTCTATTTTCTATATACTATTATCATATTCTCAGATTTTAAGACAGAATCTTATATATATGTGGTATGTATGAGTGTGTGTG